CCCCCTGCTTGTGTTCCCTCTCTCGCTGTATCTCTCTCCGTCAAATAAATAAATAAAATCTTTAAAAAAAAAAAAAAGATTTTATTTATTTATTTTTGAGAGAGAGAGAATGAGCACAAGTGGCAGAGGGAGAGGGAGAAGCAGGGAATCCGATGAGGGACTTGATCCCAGGACCCTGAGATCATGACCTGAGCCGAAGGCAGACACTTAACTGACTGAGTCACCCAGGCACCCTATATGTGAATTTTTGACCCCACGGGTTGATGCCCCTAACCAACAGATTGTTCAAGGATCAACCATAACTGAAATGAAACAGAATTATAAGTAGTTACTGAAAGCAATATCAAAATAACAAAATTTGTCCCCAGGAATGTATCAGGAAGTTACTATTAGGGCCTATACTATTCTCCGGTTTATGAGGTGCAAAGATTCCCCAAAAGGTAAAAAGATGAACCATGGAGCACTTGCAGCTATAAAAAGTCCCCAGTACTCCATGAAAACACAATACCAACTGCTTCAGAATCTTAAGTCTTGACTCTCTGATCTGTTTTGTACATTATGTACATCATTATGTATATTACCATTATCTTACCACTATGTACAACTTGTTCCATATTTTTACCTCCGTATTTCTGGGTCTAGTTCAGCATCTTTCTCCTCTCAGTTTTTTATTTCTAACCTCCTAGTGTTTGCTTTACTCCATCCCTGGTATCTATACTTGCTATCTGCTTACTTTATTTATAGCTCTCTTTCTTACTTCAGCTTACCGAATGCCAAATTTTATGATCTGCTGCACTCTTGGTAAATCAGCACCTTTTCACCCGGGACTGCCCTATCTTCACCAGACTCAGAGCAGATGTGTGCCCTTTCCAATAAAAGGATTCTTTGTGGATCCCTCCTGGATTATAGTAATTATAATCCCTTATAGTATTATTAAAATAAACTCAGTCCTAATGTACTTCTGGATTTGAATTCTAAATGTTTAATATTGTTGAAGAACCCCATACTGCGTGACTTGGCTCTGATTAATTCTAGATGTTTCTAATCTTGCTCTGTCCTAAGAGCTTTTAGATTCCCAACTATAACTGCTTACCAAACATTTGGAGCCTCCTCTGCAAATCAGACTATCCATACTCTTCTATGGAGAATTTAATTTTACTTTAGGGTAACAAGACTGATTTATAATATTTTCCTTTCATCTATGTTTTTGACCAACTATTGTAGTAAATGTTGCTTAAATCCTCTCTCAATGCTTTTCTACTCTGCCATGTTGCATTATCCTATATCTGAATTCAACTTCTGTATAGAGAGTTTGAGCCCTCTAATTTATTTATTCATTAATACAATAATCCATGGAAAACCTCCAATGTGATATGCTGTATGAAAGTACTAGGGAAAACAAAGACAAGTGGGAAACAAACTCTCCCTTCAAGGACTCTATAGGACAGTGAGGAAGGCAAACTGGTCTAATGATTTGAATACAATGTAAAAGGACTATATTAGGACTACAGAGACCAAATAAAAAACATGTTAGACATACTGATGCTCAACTAGAAGACTCTGGGGAGATTTCACAAGCATTTGTTCCAATAAAAGACAAGTAGGGATGTGCAAAGCCATCAGTTACTAAAGGGTTCGAGTTAGATGATGTAAAGAAAAAGTTGACAGACTGTAAGAATAAAAAACAGGAAAAAACACACATGGGTACAGAGAAGGAATAACTTTTGGAAAAACACAGACATTTCTTGTATGTCTTTCTTGAATTGACAAGATGTTATAGAAAGGGAGTAAAAATTTCTAAAATGAGTAATATGTAGGACAAAGTCCAAGATGTGGTTCATCTGGGAATGGGTTAATGAAATAGATTGATGGTGAAGGTACTTGGAAAGGAAGAAATCAAGGAATTAGGGTACTAAAAGTGTCACCTATTAAGACACGGAAATCATTCAGAAAAATGGTAAGAAAAGAAAGGAGAAATGAGAATCAAGACTTCACTGACTGCATGAACATGCTGAAGACAGAGACAGGTAAAAGAGCTGACAGGAACTGACTGTAGGTAAGTCATTTCTTTTTATCCTTTTACTTTGAAATAATTTCAGCTTTATAAAAAAGTTGCAAAAACAGTACAAAGAATTCCTATATACTGGGTGAAGGCACCCAGATTCTCCAGATGTTAACATTTTACCGCATTTGCTTTATTATTCATTCTCTCCAAATCTACCTACCTACCTGCCTATCTACACATGTAATTTTTTTCATAACATTTGAGAGTAACTTACAGGCATGATGTACTTTGACTTTTCAAGTCAAATTTTAAGATGATGCAGCTCTGTCATATTGCATTTTGCCAAGTTTTCTTTACTCTTTTCAAAGCCTGACTTAATTTCAGTTTCTTTTTTTTTAAAAGATTTTATTTATTTATTTGACAGAGACAGAGACAGCGAGGCAGGAACACAAACAGGGGGAGTGGGAGAGGGAGAAGCAGGTTTCCCGCTGAGCAGGGAGCCCGATGTGGGACTCGATCCCAGGACTCGGGGATCATGACCTGAGCCGAAGGCAGCCACTTAACGACTGAGCCACCCAGGCGCCCCCTTAATTTCAGTTTCTGAGTTAGTACTGTCTCCAA